ACTTACAAACTTCTTCCTTATCCATCCATCCACCCAGTCATAATATATTAATGTTTTATATACTCTATGTTGTGTATAAATGTATGGTGGAGAAGAGACACAAACACTTATTATTCCAAAGAATTGATCTCTTTATTTACATGTTCAGTGAAAGTCAGCAAATCCACTGGTGATAGACACACTGATAACATTTATAACTCTAAACCCAAACTAAATCGTTTGAAACTGATTTGAGCAGTGAAGAGAAGGAACATTACTGAAGACAACAGTCACTGCTGTCCAAGTGTTTGTTCATTTATTTACAATATATAAAAAACATCTGTTTATGGGCTAGGGAGAAAGAGACACACACAAAACTTACATCTACCTCACATTAAAGATAACACAACCTGCGCATACTAACAAAGCAGTGGATAATGTGTCCAGAGGCTGAACCACATCACGACTGATTTCATTCACACCTGCTCCTCTCTGGTAGGGTGTGCGTTCATGTAGACCTCAACCATCGAATCCAGATCATACCCAACATCATAATTCATGTTCAAAACAGCCAGACTTTTTGATTTGAACTGGTCAGGCGTGTTCTCCATGTACGTCCTGAAGCACTTGAATGCCACATTGCAGCTGTCCTCCAGAGCCAAGGTAGGCAGGACGCCAATCTGTCTCAGGACCGCAAGCACGTTTGGGAAGAACTTCACATCGGCCAGCTGCAGCGTTTCTTGAAGGCTGGATGGCGACGTCTCACCTTTGACCTTTTTGCTCCACTTAACCCACCAGCAGTGGAGCTCGGCAGAGAGGGTTGCTGCATTAGGGATCAGATTTTTAAACGCCTGTATGCTCTCCTCCTCAGGTTCACTGGACTTGTGCAGCTCTATGATGGTGGGGATCAGCGACAGACACTTCAGGGTCTTCAGGTGGTCCTCACTGAACAGCTCGTCCATTTCTTTGATGATGTGGTTCACCACGGGAACAGACAGGTGGTTCTTGTAGTAACTGTCTGGTTGAATGGTTCCTGATTCTGACTGATACTTCCTCAAGAATGCACGAGGAAGCTTAACCGGGATCTCCATCGCAGCGGCTAGGTTAACGGCCTCATCATTCCAGAACTCGTGATACACATCGATGTTGTCCAACACTTCCTTCAGGGAGTGCGATACAGCTTTTAAACTGCTCGCAGCAAAATGGGCGTCTGGTTCGTTCCCCTGCACGTTCTTCCCAAATGCTCGAGTAAGAGTCATCGTGTTTTTCAGCACGACCAGCGCAATGATGAACTCAAAGTCAGTTAGTGCTTTCGAAATCTCTAAGGCGCTGTGTGCGACTTGGTCGTTCCACCTCATGTCTTCGTTATCGTGCACGCTGTCCACACATAATAGCAGTGCCTCTACGATGTCCACCGCCACCTCAAACGCATCGTGTTGTCTGGTCCAGTTGGAGCGACAGATCTCCTTCAGTTCATTAGCTTTCTCCTCCTTGTCTGGGTAGAAAATCGAAATAGCATGCTCCAACTCCAGTTGGAGTAACTCGGACTGACTGAAGAATGACTCAATTTTCTTAAAGATCGACATAACGAGCTGAACCCCAGACAAAGCCATACTACTGGCAAGTGCCACATTCAGTGTTTGAGTAGATCTCAGTGCAACTACTGCCAATGGATATTTCTCAATCAGTTTGGTAGAAAAGGCTTTTATTTTGCTAAAATGTGTCCCAGAGTAGGAGTGTGCTTGACCTCGACACTGTTCCATATCCAGGCCCCACTTGTCAGTCATCTCAGACAGCAGTTTCTCTGCCAGGGCATCTCCATCTCCTTCAAAGCCCAGGAATCCAAAGAACCTCTCCCGCCGGTAGTTAGACTGGTCCACAAAACGGACAAACACAGGGAGGAACCATTCTCCTGAGATCTTCACGACATCATCAGTGAGTAATGAGAAGGAGCCGTTTTGTTTTACTTCCTCCACCAGCTTACTGCGGATGCATTTTTCACACACCTCAATCAACTGACTGAGCTGAGCTGAGGAGAAACCCTCCTTATTCTCATTGTACCTCTTCTTCAGGACTTCATCTCCACTATTCATGCGATATTCTAACAATGCCTGAAAGTTGCTTGACCCAACACCATCTTGTTTCACATCACCGGGCCCTGTAGGAGGAATGCTCTGCTCTCCCAAAAGCACAAGAACTTCAAATAACGACTTGAGATACTCCTTGTGTTCATCTTCCTCAGTCACAGTCGGGACATCTTCCTTTGCTGCATCTGTTTGAGACTTCTTCATTTCTGAAAGGGAAACAGAAACAGTTGCAGGACAGAAACCAAATGATTATTTCTCATTTTCAGTTTCAAGAAATACATTAGTGTGTATTTGTTGACATTTCTTCTTACTTTTTCTCCCCCTAGTTTCTGTGTCATCAGTTTTGGTCTACAGAATTAAAGAGACAAGAGATAAATTAGAAATATTTTTACATGTAAACGCCAAAAATCAAATAGAACAAAACCTTTTCCCCCGTTCAAAACGATTCATTTTACCAACCGTCTCTTTGTTCCGCTTCACCTGTCCATTTTGAGACTGGCTTGACGTGTCGAAGATAGTCGGTATGGCATCATCCTTCAACACTGTACCTTGAGCATCCTGAAAGCAGTTAAGACAAAAAGGTTCATCACATAACGCATATGTAGACTTCAGAATAATGCAAATGCACGACAAAATTGGTGTATTTAACTGACAATTGGTTAAATCATATGCAGGGCTGAATTCTGGCTGAATGACTGGCAAGTAAATTAAAAGTACTGCTGTGTCTTTGGTCAATTTGTCCACAATGGCCAGAAATCATGTGCAACTTGAAGAATCACTTACACTGTCAATCAAAGACGTTTCAAAATGTTTTCCACACAGTCTGTAGTATCTGTACAGATGATCTGCTGATCTGTCTGCCAGGTCTTTCCTCTGGCATTTCTCTACCCACTTCTTGGACCTGGAGGGGGGGCAAATACAATACATTAACACATGTCAAAAGCATCAAATATACAAAGAATCCTCCTAACTTATTAGAATGACTGATACACACTCATGGAAATGATTGGCACGATCAAATATGAACCTCACAATGTGACGAAAGGTTACCCATCAACCTTTAATCATATCAAATAATTGTCTCATTTGCATCTACTTGCGAGATATATTTTGTTAAGTCACTGGTTGTATAGCTGTCAACTCCTAAATATTCAATGCAAAGAATTTTGTATACATATAGGTATATTCGTTTTAATATATGTATATGTATGTATATATGTACATATTTATATATAAGTGTTTATACTTTTTCTTCGCACGGTTTTCTTATACCAGGGTTTGGATGTTGTTGTTTTTCCTTCCTTATTATTCCAGGTCAATTCAATATTACTCTTATTATATTATTATTATTATTCGATCATCCCCTTATGACTAACTGTAAATACCCACATGGTTACAAATGTCTTCTCTGGAACGACACACTACACAACTGATCAACTCTCCGTGGCTTCACTTTAACAAAAGACATTCTAATGCGCGAACATTCAGATCACGAGCAGGTGACACTTGTATATTACGTTTGCACGTTGTAAAGTTACGAGCTGCGTGTGAGCGTGGAGCAGCTTTAATAAAAGTAATAACAGAACGTTCTCAGCGGGCAGCTACAACTAGCATTAGCTTTAGCACGGTGTTAGCATGAGTTACCTTTCTGCATCGTGAGGGAACCTGAAGAGTGGCTGATTGTCTGATTTACTACTCGTGCAGCTCGGTGCAGCGCAGCGGCTCTGCATTGTTGTTACACAGTCTCAATCGTACGTGTGTTTGGCTGTGAGGCTACTGTGAGTAGCCAACTGCTAACGCTAGCTGTGATGTCACTTGAAACAAGATGGCTTCCGATTATTAATTTCAAAATAAAATGCACGAGCGGCACAACCACAACGCAGCTAATAAAGAATGTCACACTACGTCTTGATAACGTCATTGCAACTATGTATTGTTTTACTTGTCAAATGTAAGTCATAAACATAACATCGAGGCTTTTCCCATTAAACAACTCCACAGAATCCACATTGGTTCACTTGTCCCCATTTCTAAGTGTCTGTGGAGACAAATAGTAGTTTATACGTTTATTTTGAAGGGAAAGCGGCTTCCTTGTTTAAAAAGATCTCTGGAGCTTGACGTAACGAGGAGCGCGCGAGTTTCGGTCTGCTCCCACAATCCTTAGCGGTCTTTTCAAATGCGAAGGATAGAAACCTGATGAAAACATGTCAGGACAAATTCACCAGGAACATGTCATCGCATGTTTGTTACACGACGTGATATCAGTGATCCACCAATCACTGATGTACGGATGTGATCACGTCTTGCTTTACTATTAGTGATAAATAATAATATTGAATATTGAATTGAATATTTGTGTGCACTAAAGATCCTTGTATGTGATAT